CAACCAATCCAAGTCTCCAACTACTGTCCCATGTGCCACATTTTTGAGATTTCGATTTCCAGTTCTTTCTAATTTGGTAGGTTTTTTTTGAAGATCTTCAAAAATACATTGCAGTCTGCAGGGACTGCAATATCAATAAGGAGGCACTTTTTTTGTTGGCGGTCTCTAATAACAATGCCTGGGAGGTTAGTTTTGATTGTTCTGTCTGTGTGTATTGTGAAATCCCATAAAATTGTTATAGGTCTGTTATGGGAACTTACCCATAATAATAATGGACTATTCCTGAGATTATAAATACTGCGCCTCTCAAGGGGTATGAGGATTTTGTAAGACGAGGTGAGATAATTGAGAATATATTGTAAGGACATTGGAATAGTGATATTTGTCGAGACAACATAGTTCACTCTAACCAAATCTAATAGTCATTACTAATACTTCTACTTCTTTGTATTATATTTCTGTTGTAATATATCTTTGTATTCCATACCTGTGTTCGTGTTATTCTTTCATTGGTTCTAACCTTGGACCATCACCGTGGTACAAGGAACTTGCACCATAACAAGGTCCTAACTCTGTAACTGGGTTTTATTATTATTATTATTATTATTATTATTATTATTATTTCCTTGAATTTCTGTTTCCGTTCAGATCCCAACTAGATACCTTAGGTCAAAATGGCTTCATAAGATTTGACAGTGGTCATATTTGAAAAAAAAAATACAAAAACAAAAAAAAACAAAAACAAGATTACACATATTTTACATAGACAGAACTCTTTGTAATGTGTGAGCCGTACCTGTGAGTACAAATTTTGCATTTCTTTAAGTCATGGGCTTCAATGATTCTATCGGAACCTTTTCCAATCAATCTGTGGGCTCCAATTACAACTGGAATTATTGATACCATATGCCACATTTTTTAGATTTCCACTTCAAGATCCTTGTATTTTGATATTTTCTTTTTAATGTTCTTCAAAGATACAAAATTATATCAAGATATATTATCTGCAGGGACTGCCGTGCCAATAAGAAAGAATATTCTGTTTTTGTGATCTTTGATCACGAAGTCTGGGTGATTAGCATCTATTGTTCTGTCTCTGTGTATTTAGAATTGTTCCAGAAACTATCTCTGTAATCGTGTTTGGGTGATGCACATAACAGTTTCTTGTAGTTTCCTTTGCATAAATGTTGAATATTTTCCAGTGAAGATATTGGCCAACTCTGTTATACCGGGTTTTATATTCAATGGGTGCCAATGCCGTGAAACATTATACAATATTGTCAGTAGTTTCTGGATATTTATCCCATAATCTGCATATCGGTTTAACAAAGTTTTCAGTATATATGCTTGGTAATTTCTATTTAGAAAGAATTATTATTATTATTATTATTATTATTATTATTACTTGTATATATTATGTTTCCTGCTTTTTATTCTACAGAGCTGAACTATGGTCATTCGGATCTACAGGAGCTTTTTTCTTAGTATATGGGATGTTTCTCGTAGGGCGATCTTCTGGGCAACTTGTATGTTGATGTTAGTACAATTGCCCGCTCCTTTTCTCACGAACTCCGATTACTAGACATTTCCGTGACGGTCGTCCTTGAGTATTGAATCTAGAGGTTAGCAGTGAATATTTCGGAGACAGTAGGAAAGCGTACTTTAGGTTCGCAGTGGATATCACAGCAGAGTGTACTTCATCCTTCTCCTGGTCGCCTTTGGTCCTTCCGGTAGACGAAACAAGATGGCCGCCTTTATACATGATGAATACAGTGTAGTGCGGCTTCGGATTGGTCAACCTTCCATTGGTCGACTATAAAGGGGAATAAGTCATTCTGACTCGCTCACTAGTTATACGCTTATATACCCAAAAAACCGTAACATTGGTACAGCCCCTGTCTTCATTTCCCACATCCTGTTAATTTCGATCTCCAGGTCTAATTAATTTTTATGAAGGTGTTTCTCTCAGATTGTACTGCTATATCAATAAGCATGCACTTCCTGAAATTCTTGTCTTTTATGATATTTATCAGGTCTGTTGGCTGTTATTTCCCTGACAGTTTGAATTGGCCTGTCTCAGTGGATATAGTCATATTTCTTGTTTCATAACGCCTGGTTCTCTGTCTCCGTTTGAATGTGTTGTTTCAGCTTCTCTTTAACTTTTGATACATCAGTCTTATTCTGTATATAAAGGCTTCGTTTTATTTGTGTTCTTTCTTTTCTTTCATTTTGGTGCCCTTGTCTACTTTCCTTAGAAGTGACAATTGTCCTCCGAATTTATTTATTTCGGTTACTATTTTTTTCCAAAGTGGCATTTTTCTTTTTCTTTTAAGTTATGTTTTTACTTTTTCACCTTTTTTTTCTGCGATCGTTACCGATGCCGTGCATATATGATGATTAATTTCTGTCAGGTTCATCGCTCTTTCCATTTCGTCCATTATTTTTCTAATTGGTTAGCGAGTATGATGGTTTCCTTCACTTGATGGTTCTTTCTTTCTTACTTTTGGAATTGTTGACCTTTCTACAAAATACATTTCCTTTATATTCTCCCATTTATATCAGGTGTTTTTTTGTAATCTCTCTTTCGTCTCATATTCGCCACTATGTTCATTTGTTGTCTTGTGTACCCCAGAGGGATTATTTCAACTGGTTTCTATTTGTTCTTCTACATCTGTCTCCATTGAGTTGTTGGCATTTAACCCCTCGATATTAACGTTTAATCTATTTTTGATGTTTTCTCGAATGATTTCAAGTTCTATGTCAGATAACATTTTTTTCTGATGATATCAGGTCTGACATTGGCTACTTTATTGGCATCGATGTTTAAAAGATTTTTTCTCGCGAGATATAGACGGCTTTGGTCGTTGTTGGAGATATCATTGGAGTGTAAAATGCTATCATGACTTTAATATACTCTTCCATAGACCTTTAATTATTGTTAATTTGTGGGATTTTCTTTTCATGAATATAGAGGGCCTCTGTGAAGACCTTCCTCGGCGGGGTTTTCCTCTATTTCTCGTTGGGTAGAGTTTGTTCCAGTTACGGACTTTTCGATCCCAGTGTAGTTCCTCATTGAAGATCGCAGTCCTTGTTGACTCGCGTGATCATCGATACGGTTTAGCAATATTTTTCGTTGTATCAGTATTATAGTTAGTTCGTATTGACCTATACATGTGGGCTAGTATATTCATATTATGGTGGACCATCATGTTCAGGGGACCAGGCCTGCTCCTGCTATATCCTATTCTTTTACTTTTTTTATTATTTCTATTATTAACAACAACTTTAAAATCTTAATTTATATTGTTTGGATCTCAAGTAGACACGACGTGCTTTACGAGACTCCGACATAACTTCGATTTTCAAGTTCTTTTCTTTTACCTTTTCCTCTTTTTCTCTCTTATGTTCAATAATATGGAAATATATTCAAATCTCCTTAATCCTGTTATTAAACGAATATATTTTACTCATAAATACAATTAATATATAGTTACTAACAATATTTAAAGTAAAGTTTATTATAAGTGTTTGTATTGTATGGCTTATAAAATAAAAATTGTGTATAAATTACTAATAAACAAATAAATATCAATAGATCATTCAAAATTAACTGATAAGTCACTATCCCCACCATCATCACTACTGCGATTATTATTATTATTATTATTATTATTATTATATTCCTCTTTGTTTCTCGTTCTTATTATTATCAGTAATAAGAGTCTAAGTGTTCAGAGCTCTTCCCAAATCAGGTAAAAAAAATGAGGATATACGTCAGAAATTAATGAAACTAGTAGGTAACGAGTGCAAACAGGTATATCAACAAATAATATAACATAAAAAGATAAAATTAGAATATTTTTAATATAAAATTTAATTTGCGGATTTATACTAATCAATGCACATATATACACACTTATATATATATATATATATATATATATATATATATATATATATATATATATATATATATAAGTACACACATATACATACATAAAATTATTATTATTATTATTATTGAATTCTGCTTCATTTTTCCTCCTATCAGCAGTATGTCTTGTAACTTTCAGCAATTTACTTCAATTTCTGCTACGAGCAAATACGTTTGGAATTCAAAGACATCGTGAACAAATAAAAAAAACGAAACAAAGCAAATTCAAACAAATCCACATTAGTGTGAAATTTTAAACACTAACAATGAAATTATACCAGTAAATACCAATTATATTGTTGTGGTAGGATCCACCCAATTTGCATAGTGGAGTACCGACCATATAAATATGGTTGGTACCGGAAAGAGAGGAAGGAATCAAGAGATTCAACCAGAGACTCTGCCCGACTGAGACTCAGTCAACACATTCTCCAGGAACGGTCTTACCAGGAATATACAAAAGACTATATGTAAATATTGTGTACACTTTCTTGTTTCAATACATTTTGTTCTAAGTACATTTTGTGTTGCATTATTATTCCATGCATTAGTCAAATTTCAACATATATAATGAGTCTATCAGAACCATTTCCAATCGAACCCTGGGCCCCAACCGGAACTGGAATTATTAATGTCTTCATGTGCCACATGCTTCAGATTTCAATTTCAAAATACTTGTATTTTGATAGTATTTTGAAGAGCTTCAAAGATACATTACAGTTGGAAGAACAAAATGTTTCTTCCAGAAACTAGGCAACGTATTAACTGACAGTAGAATTTTAGAAATTAAGAAAAACGTTTTGTACTGCTAGGTAATGTGTTTCACATAGCAATGAAGTCTTGCTAATCTTTTCACAGGCGAAGAAGAGGCTTGACGTGAAAGAAGTGAAACACCAACAATTTTCGGCATTTCCGTGGAATGCTGAAAATTGTTGGTGTTTCTGGAATACATGATGAGGAAAGTCGACGTAGTGAATTTAACACTCACAGGACATACTGAAAGAAAAAAAAGCAGGAGAAACAGAAAAAAACGGGATTTTTTAATGTTTAGCAGAATAGGGAAAACATTGAAGAAGAAGAAGAAGAAGAAGAAGAAGAAGAAGAAGAAGAAGAAGGAGGAGGAGGAGGAGGAGGAGGAGGAGGCAAAGGAGAAGAAGGATGTAGAGGAGGTGGAGGAGGCAGAGGCAAAGAAGAAGACGGAGGAAAAGGTGGAAGCAAAGAAGGAGGAGAAAAAGGCGGTAAGAAGGAGGAGGACTAGAAGAAAAAAAGAAGCAAAAATGAAGGAGGTGGAGAAGAGCAATAAGAAGGAAGAAAAGGAGAGGAAAAAGAGGGATGAGAAGAAGGACGAAAAAAAGAAGAAAAGGGATGACAAGAAGAAGAAAAAGAAGGACGAGAAGTAGTAGGACGAAAAGAAGAAGAAAAAAGAAGTACTAGAAGAAGAAGAAGAAGAAGAAGAAGAAGAAGAAGAAGAACAACAACAACAACAACAACAACAAGTACGAAAAGAAGAAGAAGATGGACGAAAAGAAGAAGAAAAAGAAAGACGATAACAAGAGGAAGAAAAAAAAAGAACAAGAAGGAAAAAAGGAAAGAGGAGAAGGGGAAGAAAAAAAAGAAGAAAGACAAGAAGAAACATAAAACTTCATGTTGTGAATAGTAAGAAAAGAGAAAACACAATCCGAATATATAATCAATTATAAAAACTGTTTCTCTGTCATTCCATTTTAGCAACCAACTTTTTAACCGCACCTAAAAGCTCGAATAACACAAGAAAAACAAAGTTTAACGCCCTCTTTTATAAATTACTTCATGAGTAATCTTCTTTCCATGGATTTCTCTATGACTTTACACCTTTTCAAAGCATATGGAGCACTTTGAGAGAAACTGGTATTGCGAGTCTCTGCGGACTTGTCACTCCACATTCATCATTCATCGTATTGCTAAAAGCCTCATTCTCTAAATGCAACCTTACTCGCCTGCTCCGAGGAGAACAGACGAAGCGGTCCAGGTTAATTTTCAACATCCCTTTACTTAAAATTTACGAAAGCAGTTCCCACATTTGACAGGTAATGATTGAAGGTCAGCGAAACAGGCATTCGAATACGTGTCTGAGAGGCGAGCAGTAATTTTACTGAGTGCATTTTCGGCAAACTAACTTCCCTTCGAATATGTTCAATTCCCGAACATTGCCAGAGTTTAAAGTTCGGAGTGGAAGCAGACAGCAAAGGTGAAGATTTAGATTGAAAACTCTCTCATCTTCATCATACGATGGTTTCCCATTGAAATTATAATTGGAAAGTTTTCAATTCAGGTTGCCGAAGTTAAGAACATGAAATCCGCGCGATTTATCAATACAAATAAACGGAACACAGTTGATATACACAAACACAAAACGAAATATTTAAACAGTTTTTATTTAATATATTTAGGCAGACTTTTACCGCAAATGATTATTACTCAAACTATATACATTTACCCATTGTCGATCGTGCCCCGAACTACAGCCATTCACGATGAATGGGTGTCTCCTCGGAGTGGTACCGCGCCTTGAAAGACTTATTTTGCTTTCGACTGAGGTGGAAGTCGTACATACGAGTCAACGCTAATGGTGCAGGTAAAATGGGCGGTTCTCTGTAGTGTTCCGGTAAGTACCTGGCTCCATGTGTTATCCTCTATCTTTACAAGATCCTGATCAGCTCAAGAATGGAGTACTGTTTTCATATTTGGGCGGGGGCTGCCTGGACCGCACTTTCCACCTTCGATAGAGTTCAAAAATGTCTCTGAGTCCTTGCTGGTGAAGAATTATTTCCCAGCGTTCAGTCCCTCTCTCAGGCGTAACGTGGCAAGCCACTCGCTGCTCTGTTGCTATTTTCACGGAAAGTGCACGGCAGAACTTCTTTACTTGTTTCCGCCGGGTTTAACCTTCTTGTCTAGGACCCGCCATGCCACTTGCATAGTAGCAAACCAACCACATTCTCTCCGTATTCCTTTGGTGATAAGTAAGTTCCACAAACAACTTCTTCCCGTGAACCACTACTCTGTGGAGCCGATCACTACAATCTTAACCTGTTAACCATTGTCATCTCTTCCTATCCGTACAAACTGCCGCCTACCGTAACCCTCTATCTCGAGTAGACCCTGGCTTTGTACAAGGTGAACTTTACAGTAAATAACAAGAACAAGAACAACAAAAAACAAAAAACAAAAAACCCAAAACTTTGATTGGTTCTCTCATTGTTTAAATATCGATAATGTGACAATTGTACTATTATTTCTATTTTAAAACGATTATGCATAAATCTTTTGTAATTGTGTATTTAAGCAGAGATACTTTTTATTACATGCTTCGCTGTACAAGACTGACGAGGCAATTCTGTTTAGATCTGTATTATATTAGATCTGTATTATATTTTTCTTATGGACCCAAAACTGTTCTTTTCTAGACTTAATGAAAGTAAAAAGTGTCCAAAACTTAGTTATTGCCGAGCGCTTTCGGCTGAATTAATCCTTTCAAGGATATTTTTTGACATTCTACTATAACTATTGGTGCTTACGTGCTATTTTAGAAGATATGAAAGTAGCTGAAGATAATTTCCTTTTCTTATTTTCAATTACGGCCAGTACATGATGGCTGTGTTCATAATATCAATAATGATTGATTTTTTTTTATAATAGGGGTCCAAATTAATTTAACGCTATTCTCAATACTGTTATATTTTGTTATTTCCTTTTCTTATTTTCAATTACGTCCAGTAATACTGTTATTGATTTTTTTTATAATAGGGGTCCAAATTAATTTAACGCTATTCTCAATTATATTTTTGTTATAATACTGTTATTCTTGTGTACATGCTATTTTAGAAGATATGAAATTTACTGAAGATAGTCATATTCATAATTTCTAAATAGGGCCAGTACGGCTAGGTCTATAATGTCATTAAGGTTTTTTACAACTAATTTTAAGTCATTTTTAAGTATATATTTTGTCATAGTGCTATAATTATTGGTATCGTCCAGTGGAATCCATTACATTCACTTACATGGTAATAGTCTTGGGAAAGGTATGGATCCTCTTCTTCTCTCCCCATCTATGGCTAAATACCAGGACAGACTGGGTTATGTAAACCTGGGTGGCAACCGGTCTAGAAGAAAGTAACTTTGAATTCAAATCTATGTATCCCTGTCGTAGTGCATACTATACAGCTAAAAAAAGGATTGTTAGCATTGACTCGGGGATCTCGACTACAGTCGAATGATGATGACGATGATTGTTGCTTATGTGGTATTTTAGACGATTTGGGGTTCCTGCTATTTATCTGGAAGTCCTGGACAAAATCCAAGGAATCATCTGTAAGGTAACCCATCCCGATTTGGCATCTCGACTTTCAGTCACTTTCTCACTGACGTGACGTGGCTCCCCTCTGTCTTTTCTACAAATATTTCCATGACAACTTCTCTGATAAACTTTTTTTCCCTGGTGCCCAGACTATATGAATTTAAGCCTGCTACTAGAATGGCATGTAGGCTCCACCCGTTTACTAATGTGATAGCTAAATGCAACCGCCATTTCTACCCCAACAGTCTCTTTTCTCGCACTAAGAATCCCCACCCCCACCCCGTCGAACTCTCTTTCATTTACTTGCTTCCCGGATAACTACAATCTTCAAAAATTTAAATGCATCGTCAATCACCATCTTCTATCTTCTTGATCCTATTTGTCCTTTCCTCAGCTGCCCTCTATATCCATTTTTTTTTCTCTCGCCTTCCCTCTCTGCAACCCACTGCGTACTAGTGGCCTTTCCGCCTTGATTTGGGTGAAAAGATTTAATAAAAAATATATGAACGTTGCTGAAGTCATATTCTTAACTTTCAAATACGGCAAGTCACATTAAAATCATTTCTGCAATGGAGGGCAGGTACCGCATTCGTGTTCTTATTGAGATTGATTCTTGTCCATGCTGGCTCAAATATGTCCATATTGAGCTCCAGTCAGAGAGTTGTAGCGTCAGTCGTCTTGACAGGTGCGTGGTGGTGGATCTGACATAATTATTTGCTTGTTGATGACGGGAAAGTAGTTTTCCACGGTACATCTAAATTCATTAATAATGTTTCCTGGTATGGATTTGATTTCGTCGGCGTGATGTTATTTCTGATTCCAAGGTTAGATAATAATGTCAGTGTTTATAGTAGATAATTAATTTGATATTTTTAGTTTGTTCAATACGAGTGGTGCATTTTCGGCTGTGATCATTTTTTCCTAAATTCTACTTCTTACAGATTTCAAATATTTTCTCCCGCCATTGGATATAAAAATTATTTTATAAAATTATTTTAAATCTAAATTAAGGCAATAAAAATTGCGAACATTTGTATTACAAATATGTTGGTTAGTTGGTTATTTTGTTTTACGGCATATCAACCTCAGTGGGTCATTTAATGTCGATTACAAAGATGTAAATTAAAATAATGTTAAAAATTTATCACAGAAGATTGAAGTATGTCTTAAGATATTTCTCATGAAAACGATTGGTTATTTTGCAAAAAAAAACAAAAAAACAAAACTTTTACAAGTTTCCTGTTATGATAAAATGATTAAGTCAACACTAAGAGACACTCAAAGAAGAGACACTCAAGGAAGAGACACTCAAAGAAGAGACACTCAAGGAAGAGACACTTAAGGAAGGTCCAATAAAATTATTTGTTTGATTTGGTACAACCTCTTCAAATGAATAATTACTGCGTAAATATGTGTTCCGTTGTTGAAAACTTGATATATTTATAGGGTAAATCATATATTTATAGGGTAAATAATATATTTATAGGGTAAAATAGCTCAATGTCACATGGTCATAAATATGCAGTTTATATGACATAATCACAAAGAACCGTTAATATTAACACTAAACAAAAGAACTGCGATAAGCTGGTCACCTCTTCCCCCACCCCCGCCACTTCTTGAAACCCAAGAAAAGCAAGGTGCAAGAGGGGTTTACTAATGAAAAAGACTATATGAAAAAGAAAAACATTATGGGTATGACGATAAACCACATGCGCGTCCTGGGTAAGTGGGTAAACTACATCCGCGTCCCGGGTAAGACGTTAACCAACATCCGTCAGCAAGGCCTCTGATCTGGTCGTTTTGAGGAGCATGGAACCACCTTTTGAATGTTGGCGTTCCCAGGTTCAACCTGACCCGGAGTAGTATCACCTGTTAGGGTCTCAGCTATGGGAAAATAGTTAACCCCCAAACTGGGGTCAAAACGTGTAAAAATAAGTTTTAATATTAGTAATACCTTTTTGCAAAAAATATTACCAGCGATAAATTTTTGAAGAAAAAATTATTACCAGCAATATTTTTTTTGAAAAAAAAAATATAGCAGCAATAAAAATCTTGTCGGCTTTAAATAACCCACTGAGGTGTTGATATGCCGTAAAACAAACCAAAACATTAAGGGGAAAGAACAATACAGGAATTACGATGAGAAAAGATAACGATAGATATTGCGTTTTATTTTTGAAGATCAAAGATGACTGGAAAGCAAGAGATTTGAATATAGTTCCACAAGCGAGAAGTCCGAGAAAAGAAACTGCTAGAATAGAACTTACAGTTACAGCTAGCAATTTCAACGTTACATT